TGTTCCATAGCACTGGATGCAGCAAAGGAAAATAGCTCTCCATGTTGATTTGAATCTGAATTAGACCAAGAATGAATGGACTTACAATCACACTTCTAAATATTTGTGAGATCACTGTAATAAAGCACTCAGACCCTATTTTTTATTCAGCCTAGAAGCTATATTTTTGTAACAGAACAAGGAAAGTGAGGATAATTATTTTTAAGCAAAAGAGACTTGTAGAATAATGGTGGTGGACTTCAGCAGCTAACCGTGATAGTATCAATGGTCTTTGTTTGAAGGGTTTTCTTTGTTGGTAAGAGAGAGATAATTTTCATATATTAAATATATTCTGCTGTCAAAAAATCTAACAGAATAGAAGAATGATTAGGTATTTGAATGGTTATAATATGTCAGATTCTTACTAAACAGAAGAAATGGTGTTCACTACCAGAAGTATATATAAAACAAAAGTTGGGATGTGGTGAAAAATGTGTTGAGGGATTTTTGTGGAAATAATAAAAGAGCTTTAGTGTTCAAATATTGACTGTAGCTTTCCTTGCATACATTTCATGCATGTAATGTTAAATTAGTGCAGTATATAGTTCACATATGTCTGTAGAGCTATGTATAATACAAGAGTTTGCTGACCTATTTATGATAATGATACTGGGATTACTATGTTTTGGAACACATTTGTATTAACATCATAAATTAACGTTACTCTCACTACTTTTTAATAATCATTGATATTAAATAGATATTTGGGAGTTTGTAACACTGCTATTTTTTCCTCTTTTATGTTGACATAGTAGATAGACCTATCATCATGGATAAGGGTGCTGTATGTTGCAAAGTGGGGAATCGTAATTAAAAAAAGTCTAGCCTTAACTAATTTCATAATTGACAGAATATTTATTTAACTTACTGTAAATTGACACACCTCTAGACAGACAATTATGACTGATTGTATAACATCTGACAGAATCAATTATGACTGACTGTTGTTTGCTATCTTTGCATAGAAACAGATGAAACACAGGTATTTAGAACAAAGTCAGCTGCTAGTGTTCCTGTGTTTGATATAATTAAATACAATAATGTAGGGGAAGTTTTTAAAAATCAGTTTCTAATGGTTTATAATTTAGCATATTCTTCAAATAAAAAGCTAACTAAATAAGAATGATGCACTGACTCCTGAACACACAAGAATAATTCAATAAGAACTGTATGTACCAACCTAAAACTTTCTAAATGAAAAATCATCCATTGCTACAATTCTCCACAGTTTTAGAATTAACAAAAATCAAATAATATTTGAGACAATAAATTAGCAACTTTGCTCACTAATAATTTAATATGAAAAAATTAAGTGTACATTAACTGGATATAAAATATAAAAATATCCCATACAAGTGAAAGCGAGCCAAAAAAAGTCTTCTATATTATTTGTGCACTATTTTAATAATGAAAAATTAAATAATGAAAATATTTAGAAGAATGCTAATACATTTTATAAATTCCACATTATCTTCAATTTAATTAAAATACCAATTGATAAAGTTTAATTTAAATTGTTTTTCTTTTATAGTTTACATCATTCACTTTAAAACTTAATTTTGTGTGTATTGTGTTTAAAAGTTAGAAAATCTTTGGGAACCTCTTTGTGTGAAAACATTGCATAGTATATATCTTGTTTTGATGTTCTAAAAGACTGTTTGGATTTTTTCTGACATAAATGTAAAGGGTATGGTAGCAGCTGGTATAAAATTGTGTTCTGTCCATATATCTGAATGTTCCACAAGCAATTTCTATCATGTAACAACACTGTTCTCAAAAAAGATATACTATTTTATTGATTTAAAATTTATTTAGAAAAAATTGAGTTCTTATATGCATCTCCAAGTTGGATGGTATGGTAGTTTGAAAGTATTGACTGACTGTGTGCTATACAATGGTCACAATTGTCGTTTACTAAGGAGAGCATAGAACGATGCTGGTTGCCATTCTTACTCTGCTGTGTGGCAGCGCAAATAGTCCCCTTTCTAACCAACCTGGTGGGAAAAGTCAATATCCCATCAGTAGACGAGGTAAACACATCAGGAGCTGTGTTCTCTCTTATCTTCCTGCTCTATATTACTACAGTTCTTTAAATCTATTCTCCCCAGTCATCAACTGCACTTCTGTCATTCAAATGCATATACTGCTGCAGTACAAATAAGGTTATAGTCTAGTGGTGTATTTTCTCTTTATTGTTTTATATTTTAAAACAAAAAATTCCTCATTAGTTTTGCAAAGCACTTTTCTATATTAGCAACATTATATACAGTACATAATTATATGTATTTTAAATTTATATAACTATATATAGTATAAAAGTATAAATATATACTATATTACCAAAAGTATTTGCTCACAACTGTTTCTGATTATGTGGATGAGTGAGCGAATAGTTTTGGCAATATAGTGTGTGTGTGTGTGTGTGTGTGTGTGTGTGTGTGTGTGTATACATACATACATA